AAAATCCTAGCCTCCAAGGAGAAATTTGGTTTCACTGTCTCCAAGACAGACCTATTTGTTCTTCTGGAGTTCTGGAGGTCCATGGTATGTTTAATACTCTTTGTTCAAACACCACAACTCAAAGGCATAGATTCTCCTTCTATCATCCTTAGTCATTGTTCAGCTTTCTGATGCTTAGCATGTAATTGTGAAAATCATGGCCCGGATCAGGTGCACCTTAGTTTCTAGATTGACATCATTGCTCCTCAGTATACTCTAGAGAGGTAGACAGCAGATTTTCCCCAATGCAATTTGTCTTTTGATTTCCTGGCTGCTGGTACCAAGAATGTTGATTGTGGATTCGAGCAAGTGGAAGCTGTTAACAACCTCAACCTCTTCTCCATCTATCATGGTGCTGCCAATTGGCCCTGTGGTGAGAATATTTGTCTTCTTAATGTTAAGCTTCACTCCATATTGAAAACTACAGTCCTTGACCTTCTGCAGCAAATGCCTCAGGTCCTCAGTTTTGTCAGGCAAGGTTGTGGCATCTGCATAACGTAGGCTGTTGGTAAGTCTTCCTCCAATCCTGATGCCACATTCCTCCTCATAGAGCCCAGGCTCCCAGATGATCTGTTCCACATTTAGTTTGAAAAAGTATAGAGGTAAGATGCATCCCTGGTGTACGCCTTTCCTAATTTTGAACCATGCAGTGTTTTCTTGCTCTGTTCTGACGACTGCCTCCTGGTCCAAGAATAGGTTTCACATAACCACAATCAAGCGTTCCAAGATTCCCATTCTTCTCAGAGTCAGCCACAGTTTGTTGTGATCTATATAGTCAAGTACCTTTGCATAGTCAATGAAACACAGACATTTCTCTGGTACTCTCTGCTTTCAGCCAAGATTCAACTAACATTAGCTATCATATCCCTAATACCATGGCCTCTTCTAAACCCAGGCTGCACATTTGGCAGTTCTGTAGATGTTCTGTTCCAGTCATTTTTAAATAATTTTCAGCTGGATTTTGCTTGCATGTGGCATTAATGATATTGTTTGATAATTTACACATTCTGTCTGGCCATCTTTTTTTGGAATAGAAATGAATATAGATCTCTTACAGTCAGTTGGTCAGGTGGTTGTCCTCCAGATTTCTTGGCACAACCTGATAAGCATGTGCAGGGTAGTATCTGTTTGTTGAAATGTCAATTGGTATGCTGTCAATTCCTGGTGTCTTGTTTTTTTCCCCAATTCCTTCAGAGCAGCTTGAACTTCCTCTTTCATCACCATTGTCTCTTAATCATATATTGTTTCATGAAATTCTGTGTCAGTCAATTCTTTCTGGTACAGTGACTCTGTGTTTGTAATTGTTGTTGTTGTTGTTGACTGCAGTCGAGTCAAGCATGACTCAGCAACCCTATGAACAAAAGGCCTGAAGCCTTTAAGCCTTTCTATAACTATCAACATTTATCAAAGTTCATAGAGCTTCCAGAGGCATGTTGTTTAGGAAGTGGATGCCACTTCTGGTTCCAAGTATTTGTAACAGTCACTACAAATGCACTGGAAGATCAACTATGAGGTAGAATCGATTCAACAGCAACAAGAGAGAGAAATAGTCATTTGTAGTATTTGTAATAGTCACTACAAATTACTATTTCTTTCTCATTGCTGTTGAATTGATTCTACCTCATAGTTGACCGACCGTCCAGTGGGTTTCTAAGGCTGTGAATCATAAGTGAGCAGACTGCCCGTATTTTTGCTACACAGCTGTTGGCAGACTTGAACTTAGAGAAGCATGGCCTTTGGGTTAGAAATGCAACTGTCTTTTGACTCTGCCACCAGAGCTCACTAATAAATATTTAGAGAGTTAAAAAGTGCACAGAATTGTATCTAGTCTATAACCCTTTCTGTGGATAACAAAGATGAGAACATGGGATGGGAAGGAGACAAGAGAAATAATGAATTTCACTAAGGATAGAAGATCAGCCTAGGGCAGCCAATACCCCTCCAAGAAAGAACTGCTCTGGCAATTCCCACCCTTGTTTAATCAGACAAAACCCCAAACAATTCATGACTCACAGAGGGAGGTTGCCTCATTACAACCCTTACTCAACTCCTCTCTTGGCACTTCAAAGTTTTCATTCTACTATGTTCCAAATTAATTTTCCCTCTAACTTCTCTCACCTGTGGCCTGATGTAGGTTGCTGTTGTTTTGGTTTTTTTTTTTTTTTCTTTCTTTCTCTCTCTGGTATCTTTCCCCCAGAGAAGATGCTATAATTTTGTCCTGCAGGAGATGGTTGAATAATTGATCCTAATTCATGGGCTGCTAGAAGCAATGAAAATGTGGGTGCCATTACTTTCAGAGTCCCAGAGAGGGTTGTTAGGGCGTTTTAATGAGCCCCTGGAGCTCAGCTTCTACAAAGTGAGATGCTAAATTAGAATCAGAAACTTAACTCACAGTATCTGTAAAACATGATTTGTCAATTCCCACCTTGATGCTGATTGGGTTTCAACTTATTTAGAAACAGTTTTACTTCTTGTATCTGCAGATATAATTACATAATACATTATGTAATATATGTATAATTATTACAGAGAGAATATAGAAATCCTGGAAAATATATTATTATCTGTGTAACAACTGTTAAGTGCCATGGAGTCGGCTATGACTCAGAGAGATCCTGTGAGCAGTGAATCTGAACCTTGCCCTATCCTGTGCCATCCTCTCATCTCTGACACACTCGAGCCCACCATTATAGTCATTTTATAATCCATCTCATTGGGGGTCTTCTCTTTCACTGACCATCTTTTCCAAGGACCAGGCTCTCTTGACAACACGCCCAAAGTATGTGAGACAAAGGTCTTTCCTTCAAGGAGCATCTCGGCCACACCTTTTCCAAGACAAACTTGTCCTTTTGGCAGTCCATGGGATGTTCAGCACTCTTCTTTAACACCAAAACTCAAAGGCGCTCATTTTTCTTCTGTCATTCTTATTCATTGTCTAACTTTCAGATGCATAGCAAGTAAATGAAAAGATTATGGTTTTTATCAGTTGCACCTTAGTCTTCAAACTGATGTCTTTGTTCTTTAACACTTTGGAGATGTCCCTGACAGTTGACTTACCCAATGATCTTTTGATTTTCTGGCTGTTGGTGCCAAGGGTATTAACTGTGGCTCTAAGCAAGCCTTCTGGCCTACTGGTAAGGAGCAGTGCTGCTAACGTAAGGTTCAAATCTACCAGCTGCTTTGTGAGAGAAAGAGGGCAATCTTTATGAAGAGGAATGTGGTATCAAGACTGGAGGGAAAACTCATCAAATAACCTGAATTAAATAGATGACACAACCTTGCTTGCTGAAAGTGAGGAGGACTGAAGCACTTGTTGCAGAAAATTAAGGAATGCACCCCTAGGTATGGACTGTATTTCAACATCAAGAAAACAATGATTCTTACCACTGGACTGGTGGGCAGTGTTATGATGGATGGAGAGGAGACTGAAACTGTCAACAACTTCATCTTGCTTGGATCCACAATTAACACCCTGGGTACCAGCAGCCAGAATATAAGGACACACAGTGTACTGGGAAAATCTGCAGTTAGGGACCTTTCCAATTTATTGAGGAGTAGTGATATCAGTTTGAGGAATAAGGTGCTCTGATTCAGGCCATAGTCTTTTCAATCACAGGACAGTGAATAACGATGACAAGAATCGATGCCTTTGAGCTGTGGTGTTGGAGAAGACCATGGAACATCCCATGGACGGCCAAGAGAACAAACTGATATGTCTTGGAGAGGGTGCAGCCAGAGTGTTCCTTGGAGGCAAGAATGATGAAGCTTCATCTCATGAACTTGGGGTATGTTGTTAGGAGGTGCTATTCCTTGAAGAAGGACATGCTGCTGGGAAGGGTGGAGGGGCAGGGAAGGAGAAGAAGATCCATGACCAGGTGGATTGATGCAGTGACTGCTGTAATGGACTCTTATATTGTGTCAGGAAGTGTGAGGATGGTGCAGGATAGAACAAGGTTCAGATCTTTTGTTCATAGGGTCGCTATGGGTTGTACTCGACTCAATGGCACCTCACAGCAACAGTAATCTACATGTACAGGCACTCTGGTGCTAGTGTCCTCACTACAGAAACAGTGACATAAGGAAGGAACTTTTTCTGACTTTGGGGGGGGAAAAAAAGTAGAGCAGAAATATCTTGCATTTTGGTTTTATTTAGTAATAAAGCACACAAAGTAGCATTGTTTATCTTAGCCCAAACAATTTAAATTATTAAATTACATGTTACATAAACAGTAAGACTGGAAGTAATTTACTGTTCATCTAATGCTAATCAATAAGCCTATCAAAATTCTTCTGGAATAAGGAGGGGTCTAACAGCTTCATCTGTAGACTGGTCACTGAAGTGTTTGCCAGGAAGTATCCAAAACTGGCCTTAAACAAAGAACCAGTCCTACATCCACTGACTGATAGTTCTTGGGCCAGAGTTTAAGAAATCTACACAGAAAGTACATTTTGGTCCAAAACTTAATCAACTTTGTAATTGATGTGATAAACACTACTATTCACATTCTGTGCAATTCCGTGTGAATTCTATAATGAAGCTATAAAGGGATTCCCATGCACAAGTTACAAGTTAAAACATGGCACAGTAATCTTCAGATTAGTAATCTTCAGGCTGAGGAGTTTACTTATGCAAAAAGAACCCCCTATGAGAACAGCTTATTTTTTTTCAAAAGAGCTGCTATGATTCTCTTATACTCTGTAATATGTCTTATCTGTAACTCAACCTAAAGTCATGCTACCCCCCAAGGCAGCTCCAGCGATGCTTGTGCCTTGCCCAAAGTGAGCACACAACACTGCCCAGCAATTTAGAACTTAGTAAACTCAAGGGGGAAAAAATTAAGCAACAAATGCATGAGTACATTTTGGTGACAGGAACTTGCTTTCCTGCAAACAAACTCTAAGTGTGTTTGTTGCAAAATAAGATTATTTTAAAGTAAATGTGACATGAAGACGTCTAACTTTCATTTTCTGTTAGAGATGATGCCTTTCATTGGTTCACTGACCTTCCTCTTCATCATGGAGTTCTGTGAATTCTCCTGATTGCACGTAAAATCCAAGCTTTGAATCTGCGAGAATTACAAGAAGATCTTAATTGAGCTAAGAAGTTAATGTTGACATGAAGCAGACACAAAACTGTCACTAACTTCTTTATATGCATAACAATCTGAACCTGCTTTTGTGGGCTGTTTTGGCCCTGCACTAAGGTCCTGCTGTCAGAATAAGAGTCTGGTATTCAAAATTTTAGGAGCTGAGAGCACCTGGAGACAGTCACGTTAAAGGACAATTTCCTGGTGTGCTCTCTCTAGTGAATTTAGCACATTCCACTCCTAAGGGAATAGGTGTCAATGTTTGGGACCATAAAGGAACAATTAAGGGCCCAGAGAAACCTAGGGGATTTAGAATCAAGTATTTTTTTTTAAAATTTATTTTATACTATTTTACTTAGAAGGTTTGTTTACATTGTTTTTCACACCAGAGCTTTCCCTTTTCCTTTACTCACATCTCCCTCCACCCATATAATTATGAGACCCTATGATATACTTTTTTAGAGAGAAGCTGGATTTCCATTCACTCATTGTTGCTCATTTTCCTCCCTACCCAGCCCCCAGTTTCACTTTTCTCTTTGAAAAAAAATCTTTCATTATTGCACAATTTCTTCCCCCTCCCCAGACATGTTGTTGTTGTTGTTATGTGCCGTCGAGTCGCTTGTGACTCATAGCAACCCTATGTACAACAGCCCTAAACCCTGCTCTGTCCTGTGCCAGTCACACTGTCTCTGACACTCCCATTCCCATTACCCCAGTCACTAATCAATCTACCTCATAGAGGGCCTTCCCCTCCTGTGCTGTCCTTCCCTCCACCCTACCAAGCATGATGTCCCTCTCCAAGGACCGGTCCCTCCTTACAACATGTCCAAAGTATGTTAGACAGAGCCTCAGAATCCTTGCCTCC